GGCCGGAAGGGAAAACGACAACTGGGCGCTGAGGAATCTGCATTCGGCGACATTGACGTGGTGGTTGGCGGAGTACAGTGGGCGGTACATGGACCCCAACACCCAAGACGCTGCTTTGCAGGGCATCAACTTTGAGGAGGAGGCCAACACCCGATCTGAAATCTTCCTGAAAGCACTCGGCGACGGCGCATTCCATTTCATGCTATCGGTCAGTCAGGATGTGCGCCCCACGCGCTGGTATGACCCTCAGAAGACCAGCATGTTATCTACGCTGTTGCAGGACACCGCAGTCCTGAGCAGAGACTCGCCGCAGCCTGAGGACTTCTTCAAGGAGCTTCTCATGGAGCAATTACAGACCTTCGTGGACTCGTTCATTACTCACATGCCAGACACTCTACGCAAACTAAAAGCCGAGGAAGACGACCAGCGACGACAATTACAACTTCACTTCCAACGCTCAACTGGAGAGTACCCACTACATCTCGAACGGTTCATGGTCATTGTCGCATATGCTTTCGACGGGTTCCCAGACGCAGCGGAAGACTTCTGGAGCGACAAAGAGAGCAATCTCTACGGATTCCTGCAATGGGCAGCCAAGCGCCAACCCACTCCCCGGATAGCTATGTTTTGCGAGATGTTACGGGCCATTGGTTCTGGAGAGGCAAATGCCGAAGCGGCGCATCGCTTCTTGCTTGAAGAAGGAGCATCTGCTTCAGGAAAGATCCGACGGACGAGTTCGCTCAGCTACACCACGATCTTCAATGAGCTGCGCGAGTTCGAGAACGACATACACGAGCCGAAGAAGCCTATCCAAAGCGGCGTCTACGCTCAGACCATGAACCCAATCGACCAGATCGTGGAACCAGAGAGCGCAACTATGCTGGAAAGCTACCTAAGACTCATTGCACACATTTGCCGACAAAGTTCTTCTGCGCGGATGTGGATCCTGGATCTCAAAGAGTATTCCTTTGCTGGCATCTGCTTTGGTCTATGCACCGACAAAGTTGAAAGCGGGCTTCGAGCAGCCGCCTACGACGCTCTGTCGGCTCTACTTGTGGGCAAGGACTTCACTCGTGCAGATGCCATGTGGAGTCTCTTGGATGAGTGGACGGTCAATGGCTTCTATACTGGATCCAGACAAAACAACGCCTTGGGTGCTACACCCAGAGATGACTTGTGGCCAACGCTCGCCGACGGGTACGACGAGTCCATCGCCCTAGTTCGTTTCCTTCACTCGCTCGTAGAGCCATATCCGGAGAACGAAGGCTTGAACGACAGTCTACCATTCCCTGAAGGCCTGGGATCGTCGCGCAGGATGCCGGGTATTGAAAGCTACATTGACTTCGTCATGCAGCAGGTGTTTGCAGAACGTTCCCTGGACGTGCTTGATCCGCTACAACGTAGCGTCATGCAATGGACATGCTTGCGCTTCATGGTCACATGTCTTTCCACCTTCAATGAGAATCTCGTCGTGTTCGCGAACAAGTCTAGCATACCTGTTGATTCGGTCATTGACCCCACATCACTTGCTGTGTACGTTGCGCTTCACCCATTTGCACGCGTCATGGAGTGGCTCTTCAACGACAAGGTGTTGAAAGCTCTTTTTGTTGCATCGCACCACGACGTGACCGAGGTCGACGCTGCTCCATCCGACTCTCCATTGATCCAATCCCTGATGCTTAGCATCGAGGTGATGGATCTTGTGATGAAGCTCCAGGCGACATACCTGGATATCGTCAAGCCAGTTCTCAAGCAACAAACGTCGTTCCAGCATTCTCCCGTGTCGAACCTGTCGCTTGCATCTTTCGAGGATGCGATTTTGAACAACCTGCAGGTTATCGTAGACCTGGGACTCTATTGTGGTACCGGCCACGAAGCTTTGACAATTGCCTCTCTTCAATTGCTAGAGAAGATGGCGTCTTCGCGGAAACTTGCAGTCTCGCCTGCGGGCTTCGGACAACGATCAGGGCGAAGCAAGATTGTTGGCATACTAGAGAAAGACAATGAAGCCGAGCGCATCGGCCGGTCCCTCTCAGGCCTAATGCGTTTCAGCGCCGAAGAGCTCGAAGCTGGCGAGGATGCTTCAGGATATGTTGTCAAGCTGCGCGTTTTGGACTTCTTGAACAGCTGTCTAGCTGCCGTGTCCCTCCGGCCGACCATAGCGCATATCCTTCTCGGCTTCTCATGTGGACCCAACACTGTCCGCGTTGGAGAGAACAGCCTCTGGTCAAACGGACAAGCCTTGTTCCACAGCATACTCCTTCTTGGGGTTCAGTATCCTGACAATGACGGCGAACAGTTCATAGCTTGGCGGTCTGCTCTTAAGACCCGATGCTGGGATGTTTTGCAGAAGCTCTGGCGGTCACCGCTGACGAGCGCGCTTGTGATGGAAGAGCTCCGTGATAACGAGCTGCTCTTTGTGGAGGCCCCCCAACTAACTCCCATTACCCTTGATATACCCTGGGACGGAATGTCACTTGCGCAAGGGCTCGAGGTCACGCCTAACGATTACTCTCCATTCTTTTCAGGACCACCAGCACTCGCCCTCCAGAGCTTCCTTCAAAGACGTGCTGCTTTCCTCGACTATGAGTCGAGAGAGCTGCGCTTGACAGTGAAAGAGAGCATGCCGACTATGAAGTCTAGGATCCAATCTGTCCTTCTCGGTACCACGATCCGGCCTGGCGAGGACGCAATGCCAAACCCGAACATCTTCGATCTATTTGACTTCATCGAGCTGACCTACCCTGAGCGCGCTCTGCCAGATCAACACAAGTTCTTCGAAGGTGTCAATCTGACCTCATGTCAGGAGGAAAAAGAGGGTAGCACTCTCTATTCTTTGCCACTCTTGGAACAAGTCATCCGTCTCAAGATGAAGTACTGGCGGAAAGAGGGCATACTGACTGATCAGGAGCAAGAAGAGCAACTTGTTGAACAGGCGGAACTGCTCATGGCTATATTCGTGGACTGGAACCGTCGCACACAACTTCTCCGCTATCACAAGGACATTCTGCAGTCGTGGGTCCAAGTCGTCATGGTTGCGGTACACAGCTGCGACTTCGAGAACGGCGCGCGCAGTTCGTTTATCATGCAGACACTGCAAGTTATTTTGCCCAAGCTTGAGCAGTCGTATTCCTCCGATATCTTCACCGCTCTCCAACTTGCCAGCCTAGCAGAGGCTCTTATTCAAAAGGTCGACTTTGAGTCAACTGCATTTGACAAGACAGGAGACTTCGCGAACGACCGCCTCTCCCAACTGTTCCGCGCGGCGCTCATCGGCATATACAGCCCCGTATCCACCGCCGAGCTACGAGAGTACTGCTACCAGATCTGCTTCCGCTACATCCACGGTACTTTCAACAAAGCAACGCCCAACTCCCTTCTCGGCCGCCACACCCTCAGCGCCATCAAGAACTGCGGCACCAACATGCTCGAAGTAATCTGCGACGACGCCTACAGCGGCCAAGGCACCTGCAAGGTCTCCGCGCTCCTCCTCCTCAACGCCTTCGTCTCCGCTGCAACACGTCAATCCTCAAAATACATTCTCGACAGCTTCGTCTCCCTCAACTTCGTCGGCGTTCTCGTCGACAATATCAAGCACATCCCCGAAGAACTCTCCGCCGCCGCCGCACCTCTAGTCCCCGTCCTACTCTCCTACTACGACGCCAGTCTCGCCCTCCTCCTGCGCGTGTGCCAGTCCCGGCTCGGTGCCGCCCACGTCCTCAACGCCGGTCTCTTCCCTGCCATCCGCGACTCGCAGCTCTTCTCAGTGGACCCAGATATCGGTCTCGAATTTGACGACCCCAATGCGCTGCGCAAGTACTACGAGCTCATGCTTGCTGTGTTGCGTGTTATCAACGCTGCGGTCATTGCGAGGGGGAGGCAGAACGATCAAACGGTGTTCCAGGCGCGAGAGTTCTTGAAGGATAATAGACATAGTATGGTTAGCATTTTCAAGAGGAGTGTCAATGTGGGTGTGGGGATGGGCGAGGAGCTGCAGCAGGATATTGTGGATTTGGTGGATTGCTGGACCGTTTTGGTGGATGTTACGGGGTTCTTGCAGGTACGTCAACTGAGTTGTGGTGATGAGAATGGGAGAATTTATGCTAACGTTGTGCAGTATGAGGATCAGTCGAGCGCGAAGAAGGTTAGGGTGAATATGTTCTCTTGATGAACACCAGGTATGAATGGAAGGAGGTGGAAAGAGCAACCTCTTGCGCGCTTGCTTGGATTGTGAAAACATTTAGTAATAGAAGAATTATTTTGAACTCTTGTCGATTCGTCCCTTCCATGCTTGCAGTATTTGTGTAAGTGGACACCACGATCATGAAGTAGTAATAACATAATGTTGAACGTGATGCATCTAGACACTGACCCGCGAGACCTGGTCGGAACTTGGGTTCAGACTGCACCTCATACAAGGGAAAAACTGAACAGGCCTAGAGTCTACATCGACATTAGATCACCTGCTTTGCGTGTTTCTATGTTGATGTAGGCTGTAACAATAAAAGTGTAGGCTGCAGGTCTGTTTAGTCTTTCCCTAAGTTGACGTGACTGGACGTTGGTGTTGGACGTTGCTTGGCATGCTATCCAGATCGGGAAAGTATCCAAAAGCCGTCGATTGCGTGTGTCTGCTCTGTTACCACAGGCCTCCGAGCGATATCCTAGCCAAAGATATGTTGCACTCACACTTCTTCCCGAACGTCCGTAACATTGGCCGAGGGCTACATCGGACTTGAACACCTTTTGGCCGTACTCACTTTCTTGTGTACAGATTATACTGCACGATGCGGCACCTGCTGCAAAGGCCACCTCGTTGGTGCTTCTGGTCGTACCGTGGTTGACTGACGCTGCGCTACCGACCAGGCAACAATGCCACGTATCTCGCGTCCTCGCGTCGAATGGGAACTTATAACACAGACACTACTCTCTCACAATCGGCACAGCACGTACAGCTGCTCAGTCGCACCCTCTCACGTTACCGACCCAAGCCAAGCTCGACAATGGCACAACACACACCTGTCGAATGCACGGGTGTTCGCCCTGTGAACACGACCACCGCTGACCCTATCGGTATCCCGCTGCCTGCTCTTCTCCGCCTTCCTCGCGAACTCCGCGACCTTATTTACGATGAGTATGTTCGCGTGGACGGTGGATACATCTACAAACCAGAAACACACAAACTTGCGCATGCAGATGGCTCGCCGATAGGTTTGTCGCTACGCCTTGTCTGTCGACAGCTTGCAGCGGAATTCCAGGGCCTTGCGTTGAAGCTGAATACTATCACTTTTGAGACATGCTTTTCAGAGGCTTCACGAGAAGACGCAGGAATGTACCACACCATGATTAAGCAGATTGCGTGGCGTAAGACGGAGGTGGTGAAGACGTTCGCTCCGCAACTCTTTACACCCATCATGGCCAAAGCGGTGGCGGATATCTATCCACGCCTCTCGCCACTTGTGGAGGGCTGGAGTACAAGATCTGAACCTGAACTAGAGGTCTTGGCGACACAGGAGAAATACTGCGGCGAGGCTCCTTCGATTTGGCGCGACTGTATCAATACTGTCCTGAGTCAGATCTCAGAACATCCGGACTTCGATGTGACCGTACAGGAGGAAGGCAAGGCCAGTCGACGGTATTGGATCCCGGACAATGCTGACCGAATGTCCAAACTCGTCGACGTAAATCCAGCACCCTGGCATATACCCAACAGAAAGGAACGCGATCAGCTAGCAATTGTCACCGGGGTTGAACCAGAATATCCGTGGTACAAACAACGAACGAAGTACACCTATTCCGCAGCTTCGTTAGCGCTTCAATTTCTCAGGTCACTTCCTGACTCAGCGCTTATGGCTATTCGTAACATCATTCTGGCGGAGAATCATGAAACTGTGACACACCCGGAGTGCCACGGTCGAGGCTTTGTCGAGATATGTCGGCAATACCCCAAAATCCGCATTCAACGCTTCGCCAGTCTTTGGAAGGCCGTCTTTCCTGTTGAGCTCGGAACCCGACTCGATTATAGCTCTTTCAATGAAGACGGAGAAGACGCTTCCTTGTTTGAGCGAGACCGACTAGAGGCCAACGACATTACATACGCAGTAGGTATATGGATGACGGAAGTACTGGTTTTACCCCTCCTCGGGATGCCGCCGGGCTGCTTCACACTAATCCTTGACGGCAATCCCACACCTGATTACATGACCCAAATCTTCAAAGTCGTGCAGCGAGACGTGGCTTTCCAGGCAGCACTCGACATCGCATACGCTACTGGCTCCTTGCCGTCACCGACATGGATTGATCGGAGGCTTCGTACTGGATACACATTCGACGTTCTGCCGGGCTTCATCCAAACGCTCTCGACAGACAGCCCGCTCGTACGCTGCAACTTTGATCCCGGCCAACCTCACGACGCCAACAAACTCCTGGACGAACACCGGGGGTGGACACTTCAGGACTGGGAAAATTCGTGGGACACGCATTCCCCACGCAGGTTCCAAACTGAGGCTCCGCTACCTCCATGGCATGAGTTGCGATGGCAGTATGTGATAGTATAATGGCGGTCCGAGCAATCGAACCACGGGGTGCAATCACGATATGGAGAGAAGCAATAATCGTGCGTTCGTAATCCCCGGGTCCTCAACATTTTTCTGTACCTAGGTTTGCTTGATAGTTTCAAAACCCTAGTATTCAACTACCCTTCAGAACACAACATCGTTGCGAGAGAAGGTGTTTAATAACATACTCACAACACTTCGAATATACATTCCAGCCCATCGGTGTATCCCAGACCTTCAACTTCCACCGGCACTGAATGGTGGCATTGGACACTACAATCGCATCTCAGGGGACTAACCTCAAGTTAGCATACACACACACTTCACGAGTAGTGAACTCACAATTTGTCGGCAGGCATCGACATGATCGTTGATACCTTCGAAGTCATATCGTAATCAAGAGTCTTTCGCGATACCGCCAAAACATCTTCCCATGTTTCTAGGTTGCTCTTCTTGAAGTAACCAGAAAAGGTCACCTTTGGCACGTTTCTCAGGCGATCGAACGCCAACACGAAGAACAGATCAACAAACTTCCTCTGACAGGAAGCTGTCTTGCAAAGCACATCGTGAACGTGGCGCCACGGGTCGTTGGTAATGAAATTTCTTTCGTCGCTGAACGGAGTTTTGGGGATCTGGAAGTCGAAATGCAAGTGGTCAAGATTCAGATTGGTGAGCATATCAAGGTTGACTTCCCTAGACGAAGTACAAGGCTTGAATCCGCGTTTCCAACTGCTCCTGAAACCTAAAAGACGGAATAGCTGGCTGTTGCTCATACTGAGTGCTAACCGACTGAGGGTATTGAATCCAGTCTTGAACTTCACAGAATGAAGTAGCGGGATAGATGCGCCCATAGTGTGGAGGCGGGTGTAGCGCTTGATGGTAGACTCCCACAGCATCTTCTGGAATTCGAAGCTGAACTGCCGGCTGACTAACAGCAGGCTCCTCATCCAATGTGCATTTTTTCTTGACAGCCCATCAGTCGAAAACACATCAGATCCCAGCCGATGCGGCTTGCGGCATCCGTACGTGGGTTTGGTGACTTCATAGGGTATATCTATGCCGATAGTCTTGGGCCAGCCAGCGGTTTGAAAGAAAAGACTTGCTAGTCCTCGAGGCTCGTTCTCAAGGGGTGCGACGTGAACGCACCTTTCGGATTTTTCGATTTCGCTCACACTTTCGAGCGCGGGGAGTTCTTCGTCTTCCGAGTCATAAATGATGGTTTCGTCGTCAATGGTACTGCGTTCTCCTTGTGATTCCAGTAGCGCGTAGCATGGCTCGCTGCTATTGTCGTCGGCATAGCAATTTCGGCACTCAACCTTTGCTCGTGGCCAAATAGCTGGTCCGATCAAAGCCTCGAGAACCATGAATCGCAGTTCGGTGGGAAGTCTCATGTAGTCGAAAGTCTGCGTCATTAGATTTGTACTCTGAAGATAGGGATTTACTAGAACTTACTTGCAAAGGTGTGCGCTCTTCAAGAGACGCGTCTCTAACTGAGCAACTTCGCGGCGCATAGCGCTTGTCCCAAGTCTCATCCCATCCCAGGTATATGACGTTGGCCACGCTCCGACGCTTCTCATGTTCGCCATCCTGAGAAAGGAGGCAAGAGGTACACTGCATATTTGCAGACAGGGTTTTGAGAGTATGTTGAGAGTTAAAGTGGAAGATTCAAAACTAAATTGGGCTTATATATCAAAAAGAAGCGGGAGAAATTGTGAATGAAAGAGATCGACAACGAGTGAGGTGCCTGGCAAGAAGTAAACGCCCGTTCACAAGCTCGCTTGAAGACCGTGCAATGTTGGCAATACGAAACATTGCCACTGGGTAGTTCTTGCGCCTGTGATGTCCGCGAAATAGGAGTCATCACCTCAACTCTGGAAGAGGTATGCCATCTACAGGTCCGCGAGTGAACTATACCGGATTCGGTATGGCGGCTTCATCGAGATAGTACTGAGATGGTCAGCTACCGCGCACAAAGTCACATGCCGTCGCTCGTATTAATCGAATCTTTAGCACATGCAGCGAAAAGAGCGGATATTCATCACTGTTTGATGCGCGAGCATTCGACAGCGCTGTGGGAGCTTCCATAGAACCATGATGTACCGAGGTAAGCCGTCAATGGCTTGTGCGCGATAACGCTAGGTATGGGTTGCTCAACGCCGCGGCGGGTTCCCGCTGGGAACTTCACCTCGTCACCACCCGATCGTGGGTACCTCATCATTTGTTCGCGTTCGCGCTTGCCCGACTAGGTCTTTGGAGACAGCAACCTGCTGGACTGTTACGTGGCCACCGAGTCGCAAAAGCTGTCGCATCACCCCGCATAACACCGGCGCTCGATGCAGGGTCGCGAAGGTCTTCTTAGCATCCACAACGCATCTGCAGTTGATGCAACTCCTCATCCTCGATGAGTCAGCCAAGACAAGCCGCCGGGATGCCCGCCACGGAAGGTGCAGCCCTGCCCAGCTCCAAAGATGATGTCCAACCACCAAACTCAACTGTACGGCCTGCCATCCTCCGTCTGCCACGCGAGCTTCGGGATCTCATTTATGAACATTACATTCGCATCGAAGGCGGTTACACATACGACTATGCATCGAACAAACTCCGAGAAGCCGATGGTCGCCCTGCCTCTATCGCCCTTACCGCGTCCTGTCGACAAATTGCTTCCGAGCTTCGTGGCCTTCCCTTCAGCTACAATGCAATCACGTTCTCTACGTATTTCTCGGAGTCAACAAATAAAGATGCGGGCGTCTTTCATAGCACTGTGGAAAGCATCTCACTCGCGAAAAGAGGGTTGATACGGTATTTGATACCACTCCTGCTTACAGAAGACATGGCACAGGAAGCTAGTCAAGCTTTTCCACAATTTGAACAAATCTTTGACGAGTGGGAACCTGGATTATATATCAACGCGCTACGCAATTGGGACTTTACTGGCGGTGAAGCCCGTTCCGTGTGGGAAGACTTCATGCAGCTCATCTTAACTTTACTTTCAAAGCATCCTAGGTTCCTCCAAGTATTAGAGGCAACTCATGAATCTAATACAAGGCGTAAAGGATGCAAGGTACCAGGGCTAAGAAATGCTTGCGTAGAACCCTGGTCAGTTCCCGATATCTTCGAAATGGAACGACTCGCGGACATCGTGAATGTTGAGCCCGAACGGCCGGATTATTGGTCCAGTACCCGATACTGCTTTTCTGCAGTGCATGCAGCTCTCCGCTTCCTACAATCGATTCCTGCAACGACCCGCGAAATGATACGCAAAGTCATTCTACTTGAGGACCGTCCATCTGTGGCATACCCACAGTGCCATGGACGAGGCCTGATCCCCTTTTGTCATGCACACAAGGAACTCTGCTTTGAGCGTGTCGTCGACTTGTGGAGAAACGCATTTCCCGTGTCAACCAGAGCAATGTACGACTACATCAGAAGAAGTCAGGATGGCCACGATGCGAACACTATGCGGGATGATCGCTTGATCTCTGCGACAATCAGTGATGCCATAGGTTCTTGGATGACGGAAGCGCAAGCGCTGGGAACTCTCGGAATGCCGGAAGGTTCTCATACCCTCATGTTCAACGGCGCACCCAATCTAGAACAAGCTTCGCGTGCCTTTCAGGTGGTACAACGAGATGCTGCCTGGCAAGTAGCCCTAGATGTTGCTCACACAAAAGGCACGCTTCCTCATCACTCGTGGTCAGAGCGGCGGCTTAAAACCGGGTACATCACCGAGTGCTTTCCAGACGTCGTCGCAAACCTTTCAAAAAAGGATGCGTCTATCCGATGCAACTTCATCCTTGGTACCCCGTACAGCCCCAAGAAGCTGGGCCAAGATCATCGCGGATGGGATGATGATGATTGGGTGTCTCGTTGGAACTCTTATGAGCAGGCCAAATTCCAGACAGAACCGCCACTCCCTCCTTGGCATATCCTGCGATGGGGCTATGTCCTTACAAGATGAAACGTCGCCATACATCTTAAGCGCTTGAGTCTCTTGGACTTGGTAAGCGTTACGCAAATCTCAGGCCCCACTAGATGGAAATTTGCATTGCGTGGGCACCGTGGCAGTGCAACCACTGTTGGGCGTCTCTCAAGCCCCGGACTAGCATATCCAGGGACTCTGGCGTTGTATTCCCTCTCGTTAGCAAAGTATGGGAGCGGATGGCTTCTCCCAGGGTTCCTTTGATCTATATGCTAACGATTTGCGGTTATCGCATCTCGATCTCACGCTCAGCATCCAATGTACGCACATCATTTCGGCGAATAGATATTAAGCAGGTCAACATATGAGACCTAAAAGGAACAGAAATTGCCATGTTCATGTACGTCCGCCTGAACGGTTAGCACCATAGAACGAAATACGTTAGCTTAGTTGCGTCCGCCACATTGGTGAACCGGTGGCACTGATATTCGCAAACACGATGACTTTCAAGATACTCGAGGGCGCAGCGCGGAATCAAGCCGTGTTGCGGGCAATGGCAACCTTTGGGACCATAACAGGCCCATAGGGTACCGTCTAGACACTAGTACCGATAAGGCAACGTAGACCCACTGAACAATATTCGGCTCGGTACTGATTGTTGCTGCCTTCGCGCAAGGACACCTACCCTCTACCAACGAAGCTTCATCGATACGCGTCGCATGCTGTGTGTTCCTGCGAGTATTGCTTTTTGTCTACCATGCAGTCACGTGAAGGCATGTAACAGCATCAGCAACCAGTCGCTCTGATGGTTCTGGCGACCAGATTCGACCATCTAGGCAGCGACAATTGTTGTGCAATTGATGCACGACTAGGCGGGAATATGGTACACAAGTATTGCGACTCCGGCTATTAGAACTCAACGTGGCCTCAACGGTCTCTTACCACTTATATACAGCAGACGTCGCTCCTACTTGCTTCAACTTTAACTTCTTCATCACGCTCAAGACAATCACACCACTACAGGATCATCATTCGGGTCTCGAAGCAATGATTTTTGAGTGTTTGTTCAAGCTCATTAGGGCATTTCTATTCGCTTCCATGAGAATTATTCTGTTCGATCTCATCAGGAGAATTCTTTTTGCTCTTATCGGGAGATTTCTGTTCACCCGCGCTGAACGGCGCCGGCTTGCGCACTACAGGGAATCCAAATACAACCGCCTCAGAAGACATTGGTACGATCTCGTCAACGGACCTCGGCCCTTTTCCATCAGGAGACTGTTCTTCAATGCTCCACCTACCATAATCACGCGCTATACGACCATGGCCATGGCTTCCCCAAGTCGCCCAACGCACATGCAACTACAGTCACCTCTATTCCGAATACCGCGGGAGCTACGGGATCAGATCTATGGCCATTATCTAATCTGCGAAACGGGCCTTGAATACGATTTCAGCAAGAACAAACTTACTCGGACGGACGGCGAACACATCGATCTATCACTGACGTACACATGCCGCGAGGCCGCAGCTGAGCTGCACGGTCTGGCTCTTCGACTCAATAAGATCACCTTTCGTACAGCATGTCCGGGCTCATCAAGATTTAACAGAGGGAAGTTTGACGTTGGTATGAGAACATTGAACACTAAGAAAGAATATCTACTCGACGAGATAGCTCAGTCTTGCTTGACGGATGAGATGGAGGAAAAGATAACTTTTGTTTATCCACAGTTTGCCCCTGTTGTGCGGAATTGGAGACTGGGAGGCCGAACCGGGCGGACGTTGAGGGGCGACTTCACCTTTGGCGAGCCACCTTCCATATATCGCGACTTCATTCATTTCACTTTGGAAATCTTGGAGGACAGCCCACACTTCAGCATGCCTTCTGATCTGTTGAGTTTACCGCACCTCGAGCCATGGCAATACCCGGATGATGAAGCCCTCGAGGAGATTCTCAGCATCACATACGCTAGAGAGGCACGCCCCAGTGTCCATGATACTTCATGGCCTGTTTATTGGGACGGCCACGGAGTCATCGTCTCCGCTGCTGCTTGCGCCATCCAATTCTTGAGCTCTCTTCCAAGGTCGATACGCTCGGAACTCAGGCAAATCGACCTGATCGAAGACCGCGAGTCTATATCATACCCGGAATGCCATGCGAGAGGTCTGGTTCCGTTCTGTCAGGAAAACAAAAAACTGCGTATTCACAGCCGTGTCGACGTCTGGTGGAATCTACTTTGGGAGTATCATTGGGGCAATGTAAGGGTACACTCAAGGGATATATCGCGAACTGTTGCAAAGTGGATGGTCGAAACGATGGCACTACCTCTTCTGGGTATGCCTAGTGAGGCATTCATGATGACATTTGAGTGTGACTCCGCGCCGGAAAAAGCCACCGAGGTTTTTGATATCCTACAACGAGATGCTGCATGGCAGGTTGCTCTAGATTTGAGCTACGAACGCCAACACCTACCAACTCCTTCATGGGATGATCGC